GCACTAGTGGAGATAGGGGAGCCGACAGGCTCTGAAGCCAATGGCGAACGTGACAGGGCATCGGCGTCGGAATGCTTCCGGCCAGAACGGTAGATAACACGGATATCGAACTCCTGTAACCGCAATGCCCAACGAGCGAGCTGACCATAAGGATCTTTTAGTGAAGATAACCAGCAAAGCGCATGGTGGTCTGTTACAATATAAACGGTCGTCCATATAAATAAGGCCGAAATTTTCCGATTGCCCAAATAATGGCGAGGCACTCCTTTTCAGTTACACTGTAATTCTTCTCGGCTTTACTGAGGGTGCGGCTGGCATAGGCAACGACGTACTCGTCAAAGCCCTCCTTGCGGTGGGCCAGTATGGCTCCTAGCCCGACACCACTCCAATGAAGCTCCGTTGGAGCAGACGGATCGAAATGTCGGAGTATGGGAGGCGTGGTGAAGAGCCGTCGGAGTTCCTGAAATGCATCATCACACGCCTGCGACCACGCTGACAAATCAGAACTTCCGGCAAGAAGATTGGTCAAGGGGGCGATAATGGAGGCGAAATTGCGGACGTAGCGCCGGAAATAAGAACATAGGCCGATGAAGCTTCGAAGCTCTTTGATGGTGGTTGGCTTTGGGAACGCCGCGACTGCATTAAGTTTCGTAGGGTCCGGGAGAATGCCGTCCTTAGAAACCACATGGCCGAGAATTACAAGCTTGCGAGCGCCGAAGTGGCATTTCTTCAAGTTAAGTTGAAGTCTCGCCGTGGAAAGGCACGTAAGAACTTGCTCGAGGCGGCTGAGGTTGGTCGCAAAGTCGCTTGAAAATACCACAATGTCCTCCAAATAACAGAGGCACGTTTTCCATTTCAGACCTCGCAAAACGGTATCCATCATCCTCTCGAAAGTGGCAGGCGCATTGCAGAGGCCAAAGGGCATAACGGTGAATTCATATAGTCCATCCGGTGTTACAAAGGCTGTCTTCGGGCGGTCACCCTCTGCCATGGGCACCTGCCAGTAGCCGGAGCGTAAATCTAACGAAGAAAAGAACTCTGCTCCTTGTAGGCAGTCCAAAGCATCATCGATGCGCGGCAGAGGGTATACGCCTTTGCGCGTTATCTTGTTGAGTCGGCGGTAGTCAACGCAGAACCGGATGGATCCGTCTTTTTTCTTGACGAGAACAACCGGTGAAGCCCAGGGACTGTTGGAGGGCTCGATGATGCCACGTTTCAACATATCGTCCACTTGTTCGTCGATGACACGGCGTTCAGCAGATGACACACGGTACGGACGCTGCCTTAGCGGGGCTTGTTGACCGGTGTCAATACGGTGAACGACCGCAGAGGTTCGGCTTAAGCCTGACTGGTTACGATCGAATGAAGAACGAAAGCGGAGAAGAAGATTTATAATCTCTTCGCGCTGAGTTGGTGCGAACTCAGAGTGGATGGCATCCGAGAATACGTCCAGAGCATCATTAGGCGCGTTGGTAGGAGTGACAGCACAAATTGGGAGCGAAACCGTAGAATCGGGGATAGTAGCCGGAAGAATGCACTCGTAAGGTTCGTAGCTTCCCAGGCATTCTCCACGTAGTAGGGATGACGGGCTGTCCGAGGGATTGCACACATAAATGGCAGCGTGACCATTGCGAAAAATGACGACGGCAAACGGAAGCATGATATTTCGACGGCACGCAGATGGGACCGATGGCATAAACAACACAGGCGATTTCGGAGGGGAGGCATACGACACAGAGACAACAACAGCTGAGAAAGGCGCAATGTCAACGTCAGAAGCAGCAAACACTCTACACGAAGCACCATCGTCGGGGTCATAACACGGCACAGATAACGCGAGTTCAGAACGAGCACAGTCGACCAAAGCAGAATTTGACGAAAGTCCCACCCAAGGATAACGTCATGCGAAGAACGGAATAACACTACAAATGTGACGACATACATCGCACCTTGAATGACGACTCGTGCAGTGCACAAAGCTGAAGGCTGAATATGATGGGACGTAGCTGTCTGCAAAGATAGGTCGGTAAGTTGTGTGGTCACTTTCTTCAAGTTTCGGCACAGTTTCTCGCTAATTACAGATACGGCAGCTCCAGTGTCAACAAGTCCGTGTACCTTAATGCCATCAATATAGAGTTCGATTTCGTTCGGGGGACAGCACTTAGGTCTTGAAATTTTCGCTGCCAACGCAGTTCTTGCCTCCGGAAGTGCGCCCGTCAGTTTTCCTCTCGCGGTGGGCTGTTGCGACGTAACATCGGAGAAATAGATCGACGACGAGGAGAAGGTGAACGGCTTGCGCCGGATGGTCGGTGACCGGGACGTACGTCTAGAGGTGGATCGGCAGGAACGGGATATCGCGGCTGAGTGGGCATGGTGGGCATGTAATGTGAGGCCCCTGCAATGTCATGAGAAGGGAAGCTGCGACGACGGCAGTGACGAGCTACGTGACCTGGGATGCCACATGAAAAACATATTGGCCGATTATCAGGAGTGCGCCATTGGCTGACGATAGGGGCACTGTTCGCTGAATAAGGTACCGCAAATGGTCGTGCAGGTGGCGGCGTCATATAAACGTTCTGACCTGTTTCATATACAGCCGGAGACGGGACGGTCAGCGAGCGGGAAGGTGGCGTTGACGAATAAACGTGGCGAGTAGCTTTGTAGATGGCCGGAGACGCTGGCGCACGTGGCCGAGCAACTGCGGCTGCATACGTTAGTGGTGCGGTAACAGTTGGGGGAGCCTGAGCTGGTGGCAACGCTTCGGCAACTTGCGATTGAATGACCTGGCGAAGCGAAGGCGACAAGGGTGCCATCGGCTCGGTAGTTCTTGTTTTTATAGATAGCTGCCGGGCAACCTCCTCGCGTATAAATTACTTTATGACTGGCACCAACGCAGAGTGGTCGGCGGTGTCATGGCGATAGTCGAGGGATGAGATGTCCGCGGTGTCTTGAGCAGCGCAACGTGTAGAAGCGCGCTGCCTACACAGCTCATCATAGCTTTGGCAGAGCTGAATCACCTCGGCGACCGTCTGGGGACTCTTCGCAGCCAGCATTTGGAATGCACCGTCGTCGATTCCTTTCATGATGTTCTTGATCTTGCCGGCCTCGTCCAGAGTCGAATCGACGAGCTTGCAGAGAAATACCACATCTTCGATGTAGCTCGTGAAAATTTCATCTGCTCTCTGTACTCTGCCCCGCAAGCGCTGTTCAGCACGAAGGCGGCGGACAGCAGGACGGCCAAAGACCTCCGCGAGGGTTTTCGCTAATTCCGACCAGGTACTGAAATCACTTTGATAATTTCTGTACCATAGTTTTGCCACGTCGGTCAGGTAAAAACTCACATTTGTGAGCTTATCGGCTGCGTTCCACTTATTGACGGCGCTCACCAGTTCATACTCGGCAATCCAGTTGTCCACATCTTGGTCCTCTGTGCCACCAAATATGGGGGGGTCGCGCTGCCGGAGAGCGCCAGCGCAGAAGACAGGCACAGGTGCGAGATCTGGAGTAGCAGCATGAGATGGCCCCGGATCAGTCATTGTAGGAGGTCGTTGGAGTGTGCGGCTGCGAAGTTCCAGGGTGAGGACCAGATGTACCCAGCACTTCCACCACTTGAAACGGGTTGTTGAACAAGCAGGAGTTGACTCGGCGAAGGAGAGCTTTATTTAGCGCAAGGGCTAACTGAACGCAAGCCTGCGATCACAGCAAGTCTTCTTCCTTTTCTATCGTCGAGCTTCATGCCCACTGCCCTCGTTACATTTGAAACTTTTACATTAAAAAGAACCTCTCAAGAGCGTACGGTATTTGGGTGCGCGTTGCTTAAGCCTGCAGAGGAGTGCCTCGGCTTTACAACAAAGTCTATGACTGGCTCGATGTAGGAAAGGTTTCTTTCAACAGCTTAGCAGAAAAAGAGGTTACTATAATTGCAACTTTCTTACCGCCAATGTAGAAGCTGGTTCCAGTTCCAGATTTCTCCGACCATCATAGCAAGGTGTTCGTCCCGGCATATAGTAGACACCTTATTGGTCAGTTGCCACCTCGCGCGGAAATCACGTGGCTCGTGAGGCTAAGTGGCTAACAAGATGTGTTCCACACTCTACTTCTCTTCGGCTGCGTGGTGCGCTGACAACATACAAGGCCTGGGTATTAAGTGGATATAAATGCTCTATCAAGAAGTGGACAAAAAAACGCCCTCCGTTGCAGCTCATATGAAAAAGCATTAAAAATGTAATTAGAAAGTTCAGAGCTCGCATCCCACCGATGGAAAAAGGCAATATTACGTTCACTTTAAATTCTTTCAGTTTAAGAGAATCATTAAATTAAAGCTAGGAAACGACAATTGGTGTCCTACGTGCTTTATTTTACTTATTCGTCGGCCGGTTTTCACTACGTTATAAGACAGAAAATGAGCCCCATCATATAACTCTTCTACACGCGAGAATATCAAGGAACTCGTTTCGCATAATATCTTGCGCTGGAAGGGAGGGCGTTTTTTACCAAAAAAATAGAGTTTATATTAAAGAATAAAAATCACAACTCGAGCCAGACGCGAAAGCAGGCTTTCTGCCAAGCAATCAAGCGTTCTACCACAGAGGTACGCCAGTGCTTCTAAATTTTGACGAAAGAGGCTCAAAACAAGCGTAAAGTCGGAGCAAGGCCAGTCATAGTTGAACGGCTGGCTACACACTTTAGTAGGAATGTAATAATCATTGCCTGTACAATGTATAGCCATGCATGCTTGATTATGCCAACATGCGCTACTTTTCATTTGCACATCGTCGGACCATAGTGCCCACTTCTTCATGACAGAACTTTCATCTCTACCCTAACTTAGCCTAAGTGCCGACACACCTGCCAGGCGCATGATGTGTGAAGGTTGAATATACTGCTTTACAACGCATTTTATACCATGCCTACTTTTTAATTATATGAATTCAAAATCTTGTGCAATTATGTATGATTCAAATTTCAATATTTTTCGAATTCCATGTTCATTTTTTCAGAGCTCAGCGGAGGCAGAAAGTTTACGAGCAGGTGGACAAAGACAAATACCCAACAATTCTAATAGGGGTGCCAAAGCCTGTAAGTAATCCCATTTATTTATTTATTTATTTATTAAAAAAGTACTTTGAAAGCCCGCAGGAACTGAGTAAGATAGATTACAGAGAAATCGAATGTCAACTCATAATGAACAATTTCAAAATGTTTTTCCATACGTCATAAGTATACTCCCCTTTAAGACTCGCACATAAATCACAAGTGAAGACATGCTTAACTTTTCGTATATGCGTCCTTCGGTATCTGAATGGAAAGCACTGAGACATAGAATCTTGATATTATCGTCTTGATAATAGTGCCACTTAGAAAAGGGGGAGCTAGCCAGCCACAGCACACGCCAAAGCCGTGATTTTTGTAGGCTCAACTTTTATCACGGGGCTCTCGGAAGTCTGTAAACACAAAGTAAATAGTGATTGTGCTAAAGCAACGACTTACAGTTCCTGTGAAAAATTCAAATGTTTTCTGCGAACGCATATAGTTGTGAAAGTACCTACTTTCTTCACACAGCGTTTCCTTCGTTTACGTATGAGGTGCACTAGAAGGATAAAGTTTAAGTTTAGAAAAAATTGCAATTTGAAATATCTGCTTTGTATTGCTCTTGCTGATATTTAACCACTGACAAGAATAAGGGCCAGGGCATGTCATGTGCTTTCTATCTCGATCCCTTTTTTCTATAGGCGCAGCATAGGCTACACGATAAAAGTGGGCATATATTCGATACAATAAAATAACCAATTTCATATCATTCTATTTCATTCAGTACTCAGATCAAACAATAGATATTGTAAGTGCAGAATATATTTCGAAAAATTATTGAATAATCAGCATAGACCACAGAAACTATATTCTTTGGAACAGCTATCTCGAAGTTTTCTTTGAAGAAAGCCATAGGTTATTATTATTTTTAGTCACTAAATTACCAATTCGCATGACAATCAAGCATTTACATTACCCATGCTTTCGTGATTATTGGCTGATGGCTCTTTTTAAGCTCCGCCCTTGCTTAATGTTAATTGTGCTGCAGCTACACATCATTATTCAGTTCGTGTCTTCATTTTGCAGTAACTAAAGGTAAAGGCTAATACTGCATTTAGCTTCCCGAATAATCCTAAGAATTATGGTCGCGTAAATTTCTCTACCAGACACAGCTTCCAGCACCGTTGTTTCTATGCTGTTAAAGCTGGAGCTTGTGTTTTGATGACAGGTTTATTAGTCTTGGCACATTTTTTGCTGGATTCGCAGTGCTCTGAACAAAACTGTTTAGTAATTAGGTCAAAATTTTATTCAAAAGCAAGCAACACATTGATAAAGTTCTTCAATGCATTTATTGCTGTATTTTGTCCAACAGTTACAAAATATTTTCGTGGCACTAGTCGTTGCTGTATACGAGTTGAATTTTTATAATTGTGGTATATAGAGTGAAATAAATGTGACTGTTTGTTCTTTGGTGAACATTTGGGGGTATTTGTTTTAAATCAAATGTTCTTGATATTTAGGGCTGTTGTGAAAATCATTGCCTTGCAATACGAAACAATTATAGGAGTATTTCATTTTTAGTCGTAATTGATTTGTGTCAACACTGTTCGATGCTTATTTTTTGCGTTCCGAAGTACCGAATTCGCGCACCCCCCCCCTCCACACACACACACTATGTAACTCCTAAAAGTAGTGTGCTTGCCTTTTGTTGCTGCTGCTTTATTACTTTTTTTGCTATGCTACCTGGTTGCTATCGAGAAACCTACATTCTGCAACGTCCAATATAGCATTTTAAAACATAGTAGATTGATCGACATCACCTTGCACCAGCTGTTCACTTGAGAGAATATATATTTACAACCCACTTCATTCTAGTTACTTCCGTTGTCACACTGGTCCCGTTAATTCGGGAGGCAATCGCCGGGATAATTCCAAGGGTCGAAGTATCGGCCCCCCGAACCGCACCACGAAAGCGTGGACAATTTAGAAGTTGTCTTTTTTGGCGCGCCAGTGGATGCCGGCTGTGGCCCAAAGAACAAGTCAGAGCCGAGAGTTGATAAACAAACAAATTATATTCTCAATAATGGCAGATCGAAAACAATACACAAAAATGCACACTCCACAATAGTTACATACAATATGTCACCAATCAAACCAATCAAACAACGTACTACACAGTACAATCAGCCACACTCGAAACAACGGACACAGACAACAATACGCATTAAAATGCAGTCGCATGCATTGAACAACCAAGACACTTAAAGACTAAAGAGATAGAAAACCTATTCAGTCCAAAGTTCTTGGAACAAAAGTCGGGATGATACTCTTCCGAGAATCACTCACTCAAAGTCCAGCGTTGTTGTCGTTCCACTGCCCCTGAAGTTTCTCTTCCAGGAAACCTCGCGTCTTCAAAAGGCCACTCTCCAAGCTTCAAACTTCTTCGCCGGAAACACGTCGGCTTCACACACGCAGCCGTTGCCACGCGTCTTCGCTCGATAGCGGTAAACACACGCTCTTGCCTGTAGCTCGAGCCTTCACCCCTCAGGTGGAAATCCTCTTCTTCTTCTCCTGCTTTGTCGCTACGGACAAAACCTTCGCCGACTACACGGCAGAATCCCTACGTGCTCTGGCGCTAACTTCCGTCTTCTCCTGCTTTGTCCCTACGGACAAAACCTTCGCCGACTACTCGGCGGAATCCCTACGCGCTCTGGTGCTAACTTCCGTCTTCTCCTGCTCTCTCGTCTCGGCTGCTCGATTAAATACCCTCCGCGTGAGATTCCAGAAAGTTCTCTTTATTTCGTCGGTGCGATGCGCAGCGGAGGCTGGGGAGAGGGCGAGACGGTTCGAATGCCCTCCGCGTCGGATGACTCAACTCGGTATGACCACGCCTCTTTCGTTCTAGAAATTTCGAGGTCTTTCTCGGCCGCCGATGTGGGGTGAGGAGGTTCGTTGGCGAAGCCACGCTTCCGAGGGGAGAGGCTCGCGCGCCCGGGGAGCCTTTAGATGTTTGTTTTCTTTTTCTTTCTTTTTCGTTGACCTCGCGGCGTCATTCCGGCGGTTCGTCGCGAGATCTCGGCGGCGCGCCCCTTCTGGGCGCTCGTTCTGTGACACTGCCCCCCCCCCCCTTTAAGAATATTATCTCATAATATTCAAAACCACACAAACGAGCGCGAACAGTCCCCACACTCTCAAAGACTGTAATATAGTCCGTCGCTCATGACACGTCACATTCACAATATATCACTCAATACGATTGGACATTACAATTCAATCTCACACACATGAAATATAACCGCAGGTACATGAGTACAACGCTTCATCACACATTCCAAACAATACAAACGTACAAAGTTCTCTCATTACAACAATTACTATACTCACACCATTACTATACATCACAACACCGTAACAAACATTTTGACTCACTCGACATACAGTTGTGGCACAGGAAAACAATCACATTAACTTAACACATAGCACTGTCAAACACATTCCGAATCGACTTCGACACCTATGCTGTGCATTTCGAACGGCGCTTGCGCCCTTTCTTGCGGTGCTCGCTCGATCTCTTCTTATTGTCTTTGCTTGTTTTGTTCCGGCGAGCCCCTTCCAACGACGGTATCTGAGGCGGCGTCTCAGCCATCGTTGCCACTTCCGACACCGTTAACGGGTCATGACGCTCAACCGATCCTGCCCGGTTATTCACCCGCTTGTTCACGTCCCGACATTTGGCCTGGCTGGCCGACTCCGTCACCTTTACACTGTCTGTCGGATGAGGTCGTGCCGACGTACATCCAGCTGCCCAGCACGTGAACTCATTCAGCACGATCATCTTCTCATTCGTGGTCTCTTGCACCGCGGCTTCACCTTGGGCTCTAGTGAGATCCGTCACGGGATGCTCCTCTGCTGTATCTCGTGGTCGCTGGGTTGGCGAGGGCTCTATCTTAGGGTCTTCTCCCAAACATTCCGGATCATTCGGTCCTCGCGCCCCGTCGATGTTTCCGATGACAAGGTCGTACAGGGGGGTCGTCATACATAGAGCGGTAACCTTCCCGCTGAAGTACGGGGTTTCCACCTCAATCTCTGCTTCGGGAAGCATCCGAACTGTACGGTCAATTAGGCAAACCGGTTTTGTTTTGCCTGTTAACTCACTTTCCCGTACCAAGTTTCTCCGCACGATAACAGTGGAGCTACCGGTGTCTCTTAACACCATAATCTTCTTGCCCGCAACTTTTCCAGGCCGCGTTGGCATTCCCTTCGTAACAACGGTTGGCTGTTTTGATATTACAGCACCCACAATAGGAAGTTTCTCCCCAATTTTCAACTTTACGAATCCATCGGTGACGGCATTATTGCCGGATTTCGGTGCCGCTTGCACACAGGATACCTGGTGAGTTTGACTCGCTCCGTTTCGACATGCGTCTGCTTTGTGCCCAGTCTGACCACACTTAAAACATTTTACTACCGTAGGGCTCGTAAAGTTAGTACGACAGTTGCTCGCGCGATGACCCACTCGGTTACACAGAAAACATTGCAGAACACTCTCCGGTGCACGCTTCTTTTGTTCGAGTGCCGAATTTTTCGAATCTTCCGGACACTCCTTTTTGACCTTGGCCAAATTAGTTCCACCTTGCGCTTCCAAGAATTGATCAGCCAATTCAAGCATGTCTTCAAGTGACTTAGCTCTCCTCTCTTTCAAGTACAGCGACAGGCTTGGGTGGCAACTAGTAAGAAATTGTTCTCTTATTAGGAGCTCTCTAAGCTCATCGTACTCCTGCGCTGTCCCTGAAAGTTCAATCCATCTGTCGAAATAATGGCTAAGTCGGGCGGCGTACTGCGTAGCCGTCTCAACATCAGCTGGCTTCCCTGTCCGAAATCTGTCCCGGAATACTTCCACAGTAAATCTAAATCGCTTCAGCAAAGCAGCTTTAACCTTGGCATAGTTGGCTGCATCGGTCGGCGTCAGTCTACCGTACACACTGAGCGCTTCACCACTCAAGCAAGTACTCAAAGCAGTTGCCCATTGATGTTCCGGCCAATTCTGGCTCCTTGCAATCGTCTCGAATCTGTGAAGGTACGCGTCAAGGTCGTCCTTCCTTTCATCAAACGCCACGAGCAGCTTGCTTGGGTTCAAGTGGAAGCCATGCTCTTCCCTTTTGCTGCTTTCAACTCTAGCTTGGACCGGAGTTTCACTTCGCTGTTGTAACCGCAGCCGCTCGAGTTCCATCTCGTGCTGCCGCTGCCATTCCCTTTCCTCTCTTTCTTCTTTCAGCTGTCGCTCCTTTGCCTCTCTTTCTTCTCTCGCCATCTCAGCGGCCAGCTTTTCTCTCTTCAGCTCCAACTTCACCTGCTGCTCTCTTCTTTCAGCTGTCGCTCCTTTGCCTCTCTTTCTTCTTTCGCCCTTTCAGCTGCCAGCTTTTCTCTCTCCAACTCCAACCTCAATTGTTGCTCTCTTTCTTCCTTCGCCCTTTCAGCTGCCAACCTCTCTCGTTCCAACTCAGCTGCTTTTTCTTCCTTGGCTCTCTCAGCTGCCAACCTCTCTCGTTCCAACTCAGCTTCTTTTTCCGCTTTGGCTCTTTCGACCGCCAGCCTTTCTTTTTCCAGCTCAGCTGCTTTTTCTTCTTTGGCCCTCTCTTTTTCTTCTTTTTCCTTCTGGGTGACCCACTTCCGTAGTTCGGCGCCAGAAAGACCCATCTTCTCACCAAGAGCGACTAACTTTTCGAGATCCATTGTGTCTCGCAACTCGCAAATAAAACCTTGCCGCGTGCAAAAAGTATCTGCCTAAATCAGTCTATCGGAACACTCCCCTGCACTGGGTCACGAGAACACTGAACAACGCACAAAATCGTTCCGATAGCACTATCACAACTCGAGGCTCTTTCTCACTACTTTGGACACACTGTGCACCAAAGGTCCTGTGTCGCGGTCGCCAGATTAATTGTCACACTGGTCCCGTTCATTCGGGAGGCAATCGCCGGGCTAATTCCAAGGGCCGAAGTATCGGCCCCCCGAACCGCACCACGAAAGCGTGGACAATTTAGAAGTGGTCCTTTTTGGCGCGCCAGCGGACGCCGGCTGTGGCCCAAAGAACAAGTCAGAGGCGAGAGTTGATAAACAAACAAATTATATTCTCAATAATGGCAGATCGAAAACAATACACAAAATGCACACTCCACAATAGTTACATACAATATGTCACCAATCAAACCAGTCAAACAACGTACTACACAGTACAATCAGCCACACTCGAAACAACGGACACAGACAACAATACGCACTACAATGCAGTCGCATGCATTGAACAACCAAGACACTTAAAGACTAAAGAGATGGAAAACCTATTCTGTCCAAAGTTCTTGGAACAAAAGTCGGGATGATACTCTTCCGAGAATCACTCACTCAAAGTCCAGCGTTGTTGTCGTTCCGCGGCCCCTGAAGTTTCTCTTCCAGGAAACCTCGCGTCTTCAAAAGGCCACTCTCCAAGCTTCAAACTTCTTCGCCGGAAACACGTCGTCTTTGCACACGCAGCCGTTTCCACGCGTCTTCGCTCGATAGCGGTAAACACACGCTCTTGCCTGTAGCTCGAGCCTTCACCCCTCAGGTGGAAATCCTCTTCTTCTTCTCCTGCTTTGTCGCTACGGACAAAACCTTCGCCGACTACACGGCGGAATCCCTACGTGCTCTGGCGCTAACTTCCGTCTTCTCCTGCTTTGTCCCTACGGACAAAACCTTCGCCGACTGCTCGGCGGAATCCTTACGCGCTCTGGCGCTAACTTCCGTCTTCTCCTGCTCTCTCGTCTCCGCTGCTCGATTAAATACCCTCCGCGTGAGATTACAGAAAGTTCTCGTCATTTCGTCGGCGCGATGCGCAGCGGAGGCTGGGGAGAGGGCGAGACGGTTCGAATGCCCTCCGCGTCGGATGACTCAACTCGGTATGACCACGCCTCTTTTGTTCTAGAAATTTCGAGGTCTTTTTCGGCCGCCGATGTGGGGTGAGGAGGTTCGTCGGCGAAGCCACGCTTCCGAGGGGAGAGGCTCGCGCACCGGGGGAGCATTTAGATGTTTGTTTTCTTTTTCTTTCTTTTTTGTTGACCTCGCGGCGTCATTCCGGCGGTTCGTCGGGAGAACTCGGCGGCGCGCTCCTTCTGAGCGCTCGTTCTGTGACATCCGTAAAATGGGTTGGAAATAGGTGATGCAGATGATAGAAAATTTTGTTTTATTGCCTGGCAGCGTACAATGCGCACTCAAGAAACGTGCAGCAAATTAACACCTTCACTTGCGCAGCAGTAATTAGCTATTGCTATATATTTTACTTTTGTTCGCCAAGATGTCTTAATGCGCAAATTTTGGTGCAACATATTTCAGATTGAAAAATTCAGGAAACCTGTAGAAGGCGACTTCGAAATCAAAGGTTGGTAATTTTTTACTGTCATTGTGATACTGCAAAGAGTACTAAGGAAGGCAATTGTTGAATAGAATGCAATGCAATAACATCGTTCATGCGGCTCTTTATGTGTTCAGACACAGTCTTGTATTGTTCTTTGTTGTGAACCACCTTATATACTATACTTCATTGCCAGTCATTCATTCAAAAAAAAATGCCTAGCTACTTTAAAAAAGGTGAGAGACTTCTGTTCATCACTAGTTGTTTTTATAGTGAAAAACATCAAATGTGCGAAGCAGGGCAGGTGGCACGATCGTTCTAAATTATGCGTCCGGTTTTTGTTAAATTACTTGATCCCTCTGCAAAAGGCATCACACTGATCTAAAAGTGTGGTGGGAGGATAGCAAAGGTGCGCTTTTAATGGGTCTTTTGCGGTAGACTCAGGCTAAGTTTAGGAAAGCAAAACAACCGTAAAAATTTTTTTATGGTGTCTCAAGCGTTTCAGAATTTATGAAAATAACGTTGACAGTTATCGTGCATTAGCCAGATGTCAACGGGGTTCGGGTTAGTGTTCGACACTCCACTTTCCAGAATGAGCGGGGAGATTTGTCCTTGGAGCTACGCGCATACAAGCATGGCACTTCCTATCGACAGAAGGGTTTCACTGGGCCACCTTTAGAGTAATATATTGCCTTAATAAAAAACAAATTCTGGGGAAGGGGGGCCATAGCGTTTTTTTCGCTCTCACCACATACCCGTGGAATTGAGTGAATGAGAAAGGGCTATCGTTTCTTGATCATTTTTGTCCATGTGCGAGGCTATAAGGGCTTATGATGAATAACGTACTCAACTTTGTATTGTCATCGCTAATCAATGCTCTAAGTTGGGCACTCAAAACTAGAAAAACTAGGTCGTTTACTAGAGAACCAAGGAAACTGATGAATGTAACCTAAAGCACAATAACATAATGCCTGAGACGATCGAAACTGACTGTAAAAATCGTAAGATATATAAAAACAGTTATGCGCCACTGTTAACATAAATATTTCAATTGTCGTTTATACGTATTTTTGAATCACTTATTCTATACTTTACTTCCAGGAAACCCGATGTCTCAAGGCGTTGCAGAAGGACGAGCTCGAGTTGTGCCCACATTTGAAGAAGCCCACCTAATTGAGGTAAGGTCAGGTGATGATCAGCCGTCTCGCCTGATGAATTGAGCCTTCCTCAACCATCTAAAAACATCCCCGACTAAAGCTCTGCGCGCTAATAAGCTAAGCATTACTTATCGTTTTAGGCTGCTTCTATAATAAAGTTAAAGAATCATGAGGCCTTGAAAACTAGATATGTGAGGACATTGTGTTCTGTGACAAGTGGATAACCATCAGCTTTATTTAATTCTTAAACACACTGGTATGTGTAGCCTGTTCTTTTTCTAGGTCGATATAAGTGTTATATAGATTTACCCAAGGAGAAATAAATCCAATTATTAAGGAATAAAACGTGTCGTGATTTCGTTTTTATGAGAAAATTTCCTGACACCAAAGTAATTCTAGTGGCACGCTACTCTTCACGTGCTTTCTAATACCATTTGTGCTGCCTTTTATTAACGAATGCTACAACAGTAAATAGCTCTTCTTGCGCATACGAGGATTTGCATTACTCGTTAAAAATGTTCAAATAGGGATCATAAGTTTTTCAATAAGGTGATTTTGAGTTGATAATCTTGCTGTATTTTTACAGTGGCCTGTATTGGTGTCTCGTTGCAAGACTTAGCAGCTGATTTGTGCGCCGCAAGCCCCCAATGCGAGAATATACATGTTGAATAAGACGCTCGACATGGCAAAATAGAAAAGAAATCAATTATTGCTTGAAATGGTGTCATCAAACTATGTGTTATGAAATCGAATTGCCATGACATCACTCAAACAGAATTAGCCTTTGTTTAGATGTCATGGCCGGATGTCAAACTATATAACATTATCTGTGAGGGTAGTGAGATAGCAAGCTCATTACTTCAATAATCGTAAGTTCTTGATAAATAATGATGTTAGATAGTCAGGATTCATAGGGAGAAGATGTCTTGCTTAAGTGGATGCCTACCTAAATTGCAGGAATAACTTTTTACAGAAATATACATTATATAAGCATGACAATATTATAATAAGTAGTGCGTACTGGACTCTTGTCTGTTTAGTGGTTAGGAAGAAAACTAATTGAATACCGAATATTTTTGTCTGCGCACATTATAGTTGCTTATGGAGCAACGGGAACTGGAACATGACTTGTGGAACAGCTTTTAATTTTATTGTCAATGCATCTTTATATTTCATTCTGCCACCTTCCTTTTTGTAGACCATGGTAATGTTCCTACATGTCATGCGCAGCTAGAGCTTACAGTAAAAATATGATTTGGCTAGACAGCGTAAGTGTTTCGTAAGATATTATTAAATATTTCTGCAGACCTTTATTAGGCATGAAACAACGCTAAATGTATTCACAAGTTTTGCACGCCGAGACATATGTTGAATGGTTGCAGATAATTATATAGCCAGAGGTTTGCCCTAGTGCCACGATGCCAACAGGAACATGAGTGTTAGCGATACCAGAAGCGACAAGCTGATACGAAGCGTTGGTGCTCGCGAGAATGGTAGCACTGGAGACTGCTACGTAACTCAACCTCAGCAGATGACACCATTATACCGCTGACGTTAGCCCGACTTGACGTCTGTATCATAGCAGTACTTATGTCATGTTTATAAAGGTGGATAGTGAACACTACAGCCAGAAGGGACGTTTTACGAACATTAGGGCCTATTTGAAATGTAGTTCCATGGCCTGGCAAGACTTTGTGATACAATACTTGATTGTCACGCAGAACGCTGGGATTTAATTCCGGCTGGGACCCTAGGAGTTATTCTTTGCGCTTGGCGGGCCAGCGCTGCCAATGTCAGTTTTTTCTGAACGCCCACGCATTGAAATTACCACTGTGTGTCATTGACGTCTCTGGCCAGTTACGAAGTGTCAATTTCCTGTGGCACATACCCGCCCACGGGTGTGTGCCACGGTCAGGCGGAAATCGCTTGATGACGTACGCGACGAAATTGGGACATCATTCATGTCTTGACTAGCGCGTCATATTCGTCACGCCATCTGACCCTTCCATACAAATTTTTGTTCAAGCCAAGTTAAGAGGGTGATCGCGAAAGCTCCCAGGCTTAAGCGGCTCGACAGATAGATAGGTAGGCAGATAGAGGTCAGACGTGCTTGCAGTATGAGATAAAGCTTCTCATTTAAAATTTTTATGTAATTCTGGACGTATTAGAAAGTTATCAGAGCTGTGAAAGTAAGCCAATCATATTGTTTTTTTTATTTAGACTAAACAAACATGCTGTCGAAACCATTTGAAAGATTAGCCTCTGACGATCTTCTGTTTTTTTTTGAAGAACAAGTGTGGCTTCTGATTCAGGAAGATCTAAAAGCAGAATAGAAGTAATGTAGGCCTCACATGCGAATATGACTATAAAACTGATTTCGGGCTGCAAACTCAGACAAAGCGCCTTGTTGTGCTAACGGACACTAATACGCATTAATTGCAACGCGTTCCTTTTTCTGTAACGAGCAGAAGGGAGACATACTCATCACCACAGCGACGGACACTGGCTGGACGCCTTACTTTCCCTTGCTCGCCGGAGTCGTGACAGAAATAGGAGGCCCACTATCACACGGTGAGTTCATTTCTTACGTTTTAACAATTCGACGCTTAGTGTAGCAAATAAACATTTTGATTGGAAGATGAAATTAAGACTGCAGAATTCTTTTAAAGAAGGTGTGACTGATAAACTAAGGTATTTTATAAGTGTGCTTGCACCTGGTTCGTAGCACCCAATGTGCCCAATGTACTATAGTAGCCACCATGATTTTTTCTTTAGCGGTGTTAGTTATTCCTAAATATGTACTCTCAGTTAAGTACTCACCTAGTCATTACAACATCAATGAAGCCCACTTATGTAAGCCTAAACTACATGCATCTGCGCTGAATTGAAACAAGTACTAATTGCCTGCTCCTTTTTTTGGGGCCCATAAAGAGACCCCACGAGGTCTGAAAAACATCTCGGCTGTGGCGTCTGCATTTCCGATGAAGGCTGAAATGCTGTAGGCACGCGTACTCAGATTTGGGCGCACGTTAAAGAACCCGAGGTGGTAGAAATTTCCGCAGCCTTCCACTACAGCGTCTCTCATATTCATATGGTGGTTTTGAGATGGTACACCCCACATATCAATCAATAAAGTCTGAAAAACGTCACGCGACTTCACAGAAGCGTGCTGTAGGAAGCAATGGCCTCAAAAAATATCACTCTGAGTTAGCTTGTTGCAAATGAGCTGCGACAGTTCGCGAATGGAAGTGAAATCACGTGTTATTTTTCATAGCTCACGCTATGGTGCTAGTGGCGCTTGGTCTTCATAACACAATTGAAGAATTATCTGAGGCCTAGCTACTAGCGCAAGAAAATTGCCATCTCCAGACCCCAACGGCAAAGCAGTCCTAACAAAACTAGGGCGCGATATGTTATTACAAAAACCCCAAGAAACTAAAGAAGTACCAAGCGAACTTAGAGAATGGTACACCGTATTGCCAATACCAAGCAACATGGATCCTACTCGGCATGCTGGGAGAAGAAAGGCAAAGGCTGACCACATTGAGAAAAGGACAAGATTTTTGAACACGGCCAGATGCACTGGCGCCGCGCCTTTTCAGACCAATGCAAAGAGATCTGTGTGTGCAGTCAACGACTATACAGGGAAAATTACAGCCTGCGCTTCAATAGATCAGGCGTCGGGAACACAAGCAGAGAAGGTTGCCATAGAACGCGCAATAGAAGGGGGATGTGCGCGAAACGCTCCATTAACAATCATTACAGATTCACAAAAAGCTTGCAGAAACTATCTAAAGGGCGAAATTGGAGCACAGGCGCTCTGTATATTGGTTGGGACAGGATGGGACCCCACATTAAAATACGTACAGGCTGTCACTTGGGCATAGGGGCACGAGGGCGTGACAGGGAACCTGCATGCGGACGAGGTGGCTCGAGGCTTCACAAACAACTGAGCCACTCAGGACAATGCAATAGATGACCCTACACCCCTGGACCCTTGTTTCACAAAGATTCTGAAGTACTACAGGGGAAAAAGGCAGATGTATCTACGTCCTCATAGCAAGCTCAGTGCTGCGGAGGCAACAGCGCTAAGAAGAATACAGACTAACACTTACATAAACCAGAACACTCTTCACCTCATCTACCCACGGCGTACAGAGATATATGCCCGTGGTGTGCACCCACCCCAACACTCTTTCAAATCACGTGGGAGCGTGCAGAGCACGACGAAGAACACGACACCACTGACACATGGGATGAATCGGAGGTGCTGCTGCGCCTCCAATCAGCTGCGACTGATCCACAGAGCTGAACGAATGGCTCGCGCCAGCGGGGTCCTGGAATAGGGGCACCGCCCTGCCGGACAGACTGCGCTGTTCACCCCGTATATTCCTCGGGGCACTGGTGTTCCAGACTGTCGGGATTATGTACATAATAAAGTTTTCTACTTCTACTACCACTTTGCGAATGGAAGTGAAATCACGTGTTATTTTTCATAGCTCGCGCACTTTACTTATCATCCAAAAAATATTAGAACATCATTATTATATACGTTCTGAAAGTACCATATTAGGTGTCGCTTCAACATGCCGAGACATTCCTGACTAACATTTCAATAAATATATGAGCATTAGCCAAGTTAAACACGTAATTAGGACTAAATAACTAAACTTCAACAAAAACTGAAATGACAAAACTACTAACAGCATACTGAGAACGCTATACTTTAGATGTGCTTCACGTAACAGCATTCCTCTTTTTTTAATCTGATGCTACATGGTATTTGAGTCACCCTGTATATTTGAGTAATGAAACCCTAAAGTGACGTTGATCTTCATATTTTCAGCTTGTTGTCATGTAGATGAGTATTCGAGAAGCTACTAATACACTCCGATAAACTCACTTTCGCAAGAGTTTTCTTGGCCTACCTTGCTTTATGGACTACGTTGCAGGCACTCACTCTTACATGTTAATATGGACACATCATACATCTGCAGAAAAAAGGCCTTTAAAGGATGGATGTGTGATATTTACATTAACACTTATCATTTTCTTCCAGGTGCGGTAGTTGCACGTGAGTACGGCCTACCATGTGTTGTTGGTATCGAAGGCGTCACCAATATGCTTGCGTCTGGTAAGTGCTTTGGATTTAAAAAAAAAAAAGAAAAGCGATACTTTTGAAGTTTTAGAAGTTAATGCCACGGTAAAGAAGTATTTTTTCGTAAGGCAGCACAAAACCAATTTTCAAAAAATATGAATAGAACATTTTTAAAGTTATACAGCCCCTGACAACAAATGCAAGGCGCAATACTAAAAAAAAATCTGTTATCATTAAACCAAGCCACTTCTCGTGCTGTTATTCATCTTACTCTCAGAAGCCTATAGCATTGCAAGCAATGTGATATAATTGAGGCATAAGTGACGTCATGCTTAAGGCATAAAAACAAACTTTTTCAAACCGGCACTGGAATAACAATGCATTCAATTCTTTGTTAATTCAGGTGACTATGTACATCTTGATGGCAACACGGGCGTTCTCAGAAGGATTGCGGCCCCTATTGCTGACGAGGAATGAGATATTGCCAGATGCGGCAGTCCTGTATAGAAGCCATGTTTTTTGATGCATACCTACCCAGTGTATTTTTACATGCTAGAAAAATAAAAAGCACGCTGACCTCAAGCGTTCGTTTGTAAACTACAAGTGCAGAAGGCTCAAAATAAAGCGTTGTGTTGGTATGTTCTACGATATCTAGAGCTTACTACTTTTCTTCGGCAGAGAGCACTGCAACACGAACAAAAAGTGTGTCATGATTACAAAAAAATTATCGTGATCCTATGTAGAGATATGTTATTTATAGTTGGTCAAGTTTCCAACCTATTTGTTGAGCTAACAACAATTGTCGTTTACGTATCTTCAAAGCTTCAAAATAAAAGTACTGCATACGCTAAAGAGTGCTGCATAGGCGTGAGTGCTGTGTACGATGTATGCAGTGTTCAGTAACATGGATATGATACTCGGAGCCCATCAATAAGGTTGTTGCCTGAGAGAGTTGGTGACTGGTCATTAGATCGTAAGATGAACAAGCGCATTTTGCACTCCTCCCTTTCCTCCTCCCCAGTGTAGAGAAGCAGGCTAGAGCAAGCAACCGCTCAGGCCGACCTCTCTGCTTTTCTGTAAATAAATTTTCTGTCTCTCTCTCTATCTGGACGGAAACAACATGTGCTATATACTTCACCGTAGAGCATAATGATCGATGCCGATATTTTTAGAAGTTTGGGCGTTTCATTCAAGCGGTGTGGATAAAACGAATGTAATGTACTATGAAAAAAAAAACGAAGCGGCTATTGCAAATGGCTCTCACTAGTTATGGGGCCGAAACACTGCTCTAACCTTGCCTGTGGCGCAAGAAGAGCTGGATGCGCCGTGGTCCGTGTACCTGTACGCATTATACATTGCTCGTGCTGCTTGGTATTATCGTTCCAACCTTACACTTACGAAACAGTGCTTCAAAATTGTGGCATAAGTGACATATTCGCACATAAGATATTATGCTGAAGCTGTGATAATGATAGACACCGTCCTAGAGCTTACTCAGACAGTCATTCGCGGTGCTATCTTGAAGCAGTGAAAGATGCGCCATTTGCGTAATGGCATCCTCAAAGAAGGTGCCCAAGACTGCTCGAATCTGACACGCTGAAAGGTGGCATCCTTCGGGCAAATGTTTGATTTACCAAGTGTATACTGTCCTATCAGAAGACAAACAGGCGACAATCAAACGACTATTGTGTAAAGGCTGCACTTCGAGGGAATAAGAAGTGGCCCTAGTGTTGCGGCAAGTGTTCTGAACCAGGCTTAAGGTGTTAGGCACCATTGGCTGCGCTGAATCCCGCAGGGTCGCCCTACGACGGTTTCTTTCCGCAGTGCTTTCTTTTTTCTTAACTTGTATGTCCGTAACTATGTAATATATTCAGTACATTCTGTAACTATAAGTTTTTCTCAGCCTTACCCGGAACTAAATCATCGTTTTTACTTCTTATTCAAGCGACTGGTAAGTAAATCGCCGCCATTTGCATAGCGGCAGAACGCTATACTTCCTCCCACTTTGCTATACCACCTCGGGTGGAGCATCTCGGGCACTGAGTTGGGAGAGTTGGTTTCACAGCCTCAAAAGAACATGAATTTTACTGGCGCAGTCGTCCGGAGCGGCTTCCTGTTAACGAAGAGTGGAAGAAGTTGGGACAGACTACAGGTGGTTCATTTTGCAATGATTTGTTCTCCGTAACTACATTCTGTAGAGTATATATATATATATATATATATATATATATATATATATATATATATATATATATATATATATATATATATATATATATATATATATATATATATATATATATATATATATATATATATATATATATATATATATATATATATATATATATATATATATATATATATATATATATATATATCAAACTTTCTCTGCTTTACTGGAACTTTTCCAGCGTTTGTTCTTGATCTTCAAGCGCCCAGCAAGTCCATCGCCACTGGTGGCATACCGGCTACACGTTACTTTCTCCCACTTTGCTATACCACCTCCGGTGGTGTGTCTCGGGTGCCAAACAGGGAGAGTTGGTTTTCCCGCACCAGAAGAACCTCATTTTTACTCTAGCACTGTGCTATCGCTGGATGCCTGAAAAACTAGCGAAAAAGAAAGCAGCTATAGCAACATATTTGCGATGTTCACGGGAACACAGGAGGCTTGTGTTGTGGAGCGCGTTTTATATGCGTAGTTAAGACCTTTGCTTTTAATAACTAATAAGTTAGTCGGTGCTGTTGTGCAGTTGTAGAGGAGGCCGTATTTTCTACGCTTTCAAACGGCTGCACTGCAAGTTCATGGGCTAAAACACGACTGCCATCTGAATGGAAAATAAACTGAATTATGAAAGTGGCACGGATTGATTTAATTTGAAATGGGAGACATATTTTACCAAACTAATAAATATTTATTAGTTTTGCCTTAAAACATACAGGTGTCCCATAGCAGGCTGTAGGAAGCTTCAGCGTTGAACTTCCCCAGAATTTTCAACGCACACGTGCTTGTTAGCCACATCTAAAAATGGCCACTTTTTGTATAAATTTGTTTCCAACATCTATGTAACAACTCCAACATCTATGTAACGAACTGTTTCACTTTTTACATCTTCATATTCGTAAAACCTCGTGGTCGCGAGGCATGTGTACGCGTGGTTTCATAACAAGGAAATTTCATCATGGTAGTGATGGAAGCCCGAAGCGATCAATCCTAATACGACTCGGACAGTTATCTTGTAATTGCAGGAGTGATCCTTGAATACCGGTTAAGCGTATCCTCACCATGGTGTAAGATATATACTCCTCACGAAGAAATGTCACAATAAAAGGTGCACGCTTGTGCACCGCTCGGTCAGAATTGAATATAATTATTATCGAACTCAAGAGGAATCTTCATCGGTTCTGATTGTGATCGAAAGCACATGCGCGACGGGATGTTATTTGCAGACAATGTTCGTTAAAAACGCAGAGGTTGGGGCCTGCATGCACGCTGCGTCTAGCACTGACGCTCAACGCCAAGCCATGCTTTCGCAATAATATCACGCCTATTCTTAGCTACATTATCCTGCCTTACACATTCTAGTAATGGTACAATGAATTCGTACCACTGCATGTTTTGCGAGAATTTAAAGATGTGAATCTGCTGCAAAAAATCCGACTGCAGCGAAACACGAATGTATTAGTCACTGCTGCCATTCGAAAAAAAAAAAGAATATACTTTTCAGTTCGTTTTTTAAAGATGTATAAATGCACAAGTTTAGAGCGTTTTGGGACAATATACAGTTATACAGATATAATTTACGTCCAATTAGTTACATTTTTTAACTCACGCAAGGTAATCACAAAGAATCAATATGGTTTCTAAAAGAATAAATCCACTGAACAAGCAGTCTTGTACATCAAAGATAAAATAATAATTATTATTGAAGACAAAAACTGTATGCTTGGTCTATTTTTAGATCTAAAGAAGGCGTTTGATTCTATAGATCACAAAATTTTGTTACAGAAGTTAGAGAAGTACGGAATTAGTGGTGTTGCAAGTCGGTTGCTGGCAAGCTAATGAAATAATCGTCAACAGTTCGTACGTATGCAGGATATTTCGCCTAGTTATCTAACGCTTGAACGAGGCGTCCCTCAGGGCTCTAAGCTAGGTCTGTTATTATTCATAATTTTTGTAAACGATATAGTTAATATTCCTGATTTCCCAGAATCAATAACATACGCCGACGACACCAATCTATTTTTTAAATCACGGGACCTGAATGAATTATTATACAGCGTGAGTTACTACCTCGCATCGCTAGCTTGCTGAATGAATCAAAATTAATTGCAAATAAACGCTGAAAAAACAAAATACAGTATATTCAGGTCGCGCAATACGCCCATCGATAAGGAAATAACCATTACTTATGCAGGAATGAAACTGCAGCAAGTGACAAACCAGAAGTTTCTTAGAGTGACGTTTAATGAACAGTTAAGCTGGAACGCGCATATTAGCCAACAATGTGTAGACTTATCAAAAAGCATTGGTATTATGTACAAAATTTCTGAACTGATTCCCCTATGGCTGAAACCACAGTTATACAATTGCCTTTTTTATTCTAAGCTGTGCTATGGAGCTCTGGTGTGGGGAACAACTACCAAAATTAACTACAAGAAACTTGTACTTCTACAAAAAAAGGGTTCTCCGCATATACTGCAAACACCAAGGAAATTACGCAAACTTGAGGACAGCACCTTTATTTCAAAGATATCATTGGATTCGTTCTGATCAAGTCTATTACATAAAAATATTAGAAATCACATACAGCAAAAAATTGTATGAGCCCAACGAAGCAGCTAGACAACACACTTATCCTATCCGCCAAATCTTACGCCGTCCACAACGAACACGAACAAATTATAGGAAACAAACCTTTACCCATCAAATAACTTGTATATTAAAGAAATTAGAACATAAGCTTAATTTTGATTCTACAGAAAAAGCATTTAAGGTACAAGTAAAGAAGTGCTAATGCAGGAAAACATACTTTTTGATGGATCCTAAAAATAATGATGTTAGCAATGGTAGTAGTCGGACGATGGAAATCTTATACTGCATGTATTTTATTAACTATAAAATATAATGGTATGTATCACATGTCCCTAATGTTCTAATCTGATTCTTTCCGGAGTGATTGTTATTTAAGTGTGTTATGTAGTAAGTATGTTACAAGATTTGTACAGTCAGTCAGATTCAATGTAACATCATATGTTTTAGCAGCTATCTTTTCTCTGTTGCTTCTTTTGTTCATGATGGACTGATGCCACGAAAGCGGTTTTTTGTTTTTATTTTTTGATGTACGAACTGTGTACAAGGGTGTTGGTTCCTCTGTCAGGCTATTTGCCTTTACCCCCAACATCCTTTTGTTTCTTGTATCTTGTACAAGAAAACAATAAAACAAATTTTGAAATTTGAATTCGAATTTTATTAAACGAAGCCGTGGTCAACTTCACATTATCAAAACGTACAAAACCTTTGTTGCGAATCCACGGTGCTGAATGTTCTCATGTAGTTTGACATGCTTCCTGTCACAGTTATCCCGTTCAAAAATGTAATCGTTCGCAAGAAGATGCACGTTTCAATATTACAAGAAGATTGAAA